TCTATCTATCTATCTATCTATCTATCTATCTATCTATCTATCTATCTATATATATATATATTATTTGTGCTTATAAATAAATAAAGGGAGACTTGGTTTCTGTCTGGATGGTCTCTTATGACGAGCCGATGGACAGAGAATGCAAGCAGTGAACTTCGTCCCATATTTGGGCATACTAGGGGTTGTGACTTTATATATATATATATATATATATAGTCACATATATCTCCACCATTAATCAGACTCTTGGAAGCCAACAGCAGAATAGCAATAATCAACTATATTATACATAATATGTTCAAAGCAAATAATTAAACACAAAATATTGATAACTGTCATAATTAAGACACAACGGCATCATTTAATTCCTCATAAGGCTTCCAATATCTTACTATATTTCAGAAATCCAAACATATGGGGAGCTTTGGAGAAGCCCTTCTACAGTACAGAATACAGCCACTGTAAAATAGCCACTATGAGTCTTATCTCCCTTGATTCACAAAAATGAGGAATCAACAGCAGTTTTTGACGTATGAGTCAAATAAGGTGATTGTGGCTGGAGAAAGCAGGCCCTAAACATCTTGGTGTCTACTGTACTGAGCTTTATAGGTTTAAAAAGAACCAGCAATTTGAAGTGTACCCAGAAGCCAATAGGAAGCAAGGGCAGGACACAAAGCACCTGAGTGGCAGGCTCATGACAACAACAACAACCAGAAACTGTGTTGATGCATCCAGAACTAACTGTAACTTCAAACTGATTGATACGTGTTGACTCTTAGCAACCACGCTGATAAATTTTCTCCATAATGATCTTTCCTTAACTTGTTTTTTTCTAAATAACCTTCAAAAGCAGCACTATGTAATTGCCTGTTGATGGTTCTCCTTCTGGTCTCAAGGCTAACGCCATGAGACTGAACAGCAAGATCTTATTCTGAATGTCCCCCCTCTGCTTTATAATCAGTGCTATCAATGTGAAATGCAGGTTGATGGCTGCATCTCCCTGGGACAAAAACTATTGTGAAGTGCTAATCAGTGAGCAGGGAGAAACTTGGAACTATGAAATAGCTTTCCTTTGAAAAGGAGGCAAGAGCTGCTGGACAGGAAGCAAAGTGAAGACAGTTATTCTCCTGTCGTGTAACTTAGGGCTCTGATCCACATGAAAAAAATTTCCCTTAATAAAACTGACCCTGATCCATGAAAGTCAAATAAAAACTATGTGAAGACTGCATTCTTCATC